CTGTATTAAGTGGGAGTTCTGCTTGTACATAAAAAACGTGAAACCCAAGTTATTCCAGATGAGTCCACCATACCTACCTATATGCGGTATTACTCTGACGTCCTATATAAATTTGCATGTGCCACCTCTAAAAACTACAAACAAATATCCTTTTTGAGTGCTTGGATTGTTCATAGAGAGACAAGAGGTAGTTGGTATCTTCCATCCTAAGTGGGTTATTTTCAGGATGGGTGTTTATCCACTCACCATTGCACGAGAAAAGAGCGGTAACAGGGATTCCCAGTCCCAAATTGCAAAAAGAACTTATCAATAGTAAAACAAAAACTCCTATGGATCAAAAACCTTTACTTTACCGCTTGGGAACTGCTACTAATTTGATTAGCATGGAAGATATTGATAACTGATGGCCGCGAAGTAAACAAGAAGGGTGCATGTCTCAAAATTTCATTTACCTCTGTTTTAAAACTTGAGCTCTGGCACCTCTGCTAATCACTTCTTCCCTCTGCGAAGAGACTATCTATTTACTTTTTATGTTGTGTCATCACCTTCTCAAATAAGCGCCAGAACCTGAGAGCACTGCTGTCATGCTGATGCATTGTGTATAGCTAATGTTGGGTGCATCATGACTAGATCTTTTCTACCATGAATTATAATGTTTAGTCACTGCTTGAACTTTGGGGGTGCACTGCATTTATGTTTTGCGGTCGCAAAAAGGGCTAGCGACATACCACTATTGTCATATTGTATCATGGTTGTTTGGACAACGTGTTGCTGTTTGAGATATCTTATTATTGTCATATTGTCATAGACTATTGATATGAGTTATATAATTTTTAAGAGTTATTGTTGACATGGTTAGTTATAATTTTTGCTGAAAACTTGGGTGTTGTTTAAGCTTATTTATTAAACAAGAGCAAAAGAGTTCGTAAAAGTTTTTCTTTTTCACTTTCAGTTTATCAACTGAATTGCTTGAGGACAAGCAAAGGTTTAAGCTTGGGGGAGTTGATATGTCTCCGTCGTATCTACTTTTCCTAATGTTTTCCCTCTTGTTTTGGACTCTAATTTGCATGATTTGAATGAAACTTACCCGGACTAACGTTGTTTTCAGCAGAACTACCATGGTGTTGTTTTTGTGTAGAAATAAACGTTCTCGGAATGGAACAAAACTTTGTGAGGATTTTTTATACAATAAAAGAGAATTTCTGGAGCCAAGAACCACCGGCGGGGGGCACCTGGATGGGCAGAACCCACCAGGGTGCGCCCAGGTGGGTTGTCCCCACCTGGTGGCCCCATAGACCCTGAAACCGACGCTACAAAATCCTATTTTTCTAGAAAAAAATCAAGGAGAAATAATTATCGCGTTTCACGAGACAAAGCCTGCGCCATCTCCTGTTCTTCACAGGGAGGCCAGATCTGGAGTCCATTTGGGGCTCCAGGGAGGGGGGTCTTTGATCTTCGTCATCACCAACGCTTCTCCATCGCCAATTCCATGATGCTCCCCACCAGGAGTGAGTAATTCCTTGGTAAACTAGTTGGTCGGTGATGAGTTGGGTGAGATTCATCATGTAATCAAGTTAGTTTTGGTAGGGCCTAATCCCTAGTATCGACTATGTTCTGAGATTGATGTTGCTATGACTTTGGCATCTTTAATGAATGCCACTTTGGGCTTGGGTGCCATGATTTCAGATCTGAATGTTTTATGTTATCATCATTATATCCATGTTCTAAATCCGATCTTGCAAGTTATAGTCACCTACTACGTGTTATGATGCGGCAACCCCGGAGTGACAATAGTCGGGACCACTCCCGGTGATGACCGTAGTTTGTGGAGTTCTTGTATTCACCGTGTGTTAATGCTTTGTTCCGGTTCTCTCTTAAAAGGAGGCCTTAATATCCCTTAGTTTCCAATAGGACCCCGCTGCCACGGGAGGGTAGGACAAAAGATGTCATACAAGGTCTTTCCATAAGCACGTATGACTATTTACAGAATACATGCCTACATTATATTTATGAACTGGAGCTAGTGCCGTATCACCCTAGGTTATGACTGTCTCATGATGAATATCATCCAGCGAATCACCGATCCGATGCCTATGAATTTACCTTACATTGTTCTTGCTAAGTTCCTACTTCTGCTACTCTATCGTTACTGCTACAAAATAACAGCTATCACTGTTATCGTTACTATTGTTGCTACTACTATTATCAAAACATTCATATAACCTTGCTACTAATCACTTTGCTGCAGATAATTAATGTCCAAGTGTGGTTGAATTGGCAACTCATCTGCTAATAGTTGCAAATATTCTTTGGCTCCCCATGTGTCGAATCTATAAATTTGCGTTGAATACTCTACCCTAGAAAATTGTTGTGATCCCATATACTTGTGGGTTATCAAGGTCTGCCTGAGACCTTCATGCTAGGCGCCTCTGGTGGTGCTAAGGGGCCCGATCTGATGTCCTGGAAGGAGATCGGTTCCAGAGATGAGCCTACGATGTTTGGTAAATCCTCAACCCAGCCTGGCATACAGCCTGATGGTACAAGCTCGCCCCGGGACTACACTGTGTACTCCAGGCCTCCGAAGGTCATGATCTGACCCAAGGCATAGTTATCAAGAAAGACTAGATGGCCCTTTGAGTCGGTGGAGAAGATCATGCTTTCTAATACAAAAAGTTAGATGGGACATAAACGTCTTTGTGGCTGGTGCCGTAGTTGATCTGCAATTGATCCATCGATATTTCTAGCGATCACACAATGGAACTCTCGGTGAGAGCACTAGCATCAGCGTCAAAACTGACATACCTTGGGGTAGGGGGTCCCAAGCCGTTGATCTCGGATCAGTGGTAACAAGAAGAACAAAGATGGTGTTTACCCAAGTTCGGGACCTCTTGATGGAGGTAAAACCCTATGTCCTGCTCTTATTTATACGCATGAAGATGTATCAAGTAAAGAGTTGATCTAACTCAAGATCGTGAGTTGTGTTCTACCTCTAGGGCTAGGAGAACATAATTGTGATTTGGTCCCTCTATGGGATAAACCCTTTGGCTTATATACACACCAGGTAGGGCATCTAGGGTTACATAGTCTGTATCTAAGCATCGCATGGAGGCGGCAGGGAATATCTTGGAGTGTACATCAAGTCTTCGACATATATGGTCTTGAGCCCATCTAGGCGTACAACTTCTGGAGTCTTCCTTATTGATAATACGGGTCCACTAGCCTAGCTCGGGGACTACTTTCCGACTAGATTGGCACACCCTAGTCTAGGACACCTTCAGTATTGTTGCTACTAAGGATAAAATGATGGTGTTTATTCATATTGCTTGAGTTTACTTTGTCTACATCATGTCATCTTGCTTAAAGCATTACTCTGTTTGTCATGAACTTAATACCATAGATGCATGTTGGATAGCGGTCAATTGGTGGAGTAATAGTAGTAGATGCAGGCAAGATTCGGTCTAGTTATCACGGACATGATGCATACATGTATGATCATGGCCATGATTAACATCGTAACTATGCGCTTTTCTATCAATTGGCCAATAGTGATTTGTTTACCCACCATATGCTATTTCTTCAAGAGAGAAGCCTCTAGTGAAAACTATGGCCCCCGGGTCTACTTTTACATATTATAAAAACCAAAAATACCTTGGTGCGATTTATTTACTTTTATCTTGTTTGCAATTTATTTATCTATCTATCACTATCAGAATTAATCCTTGCAGGTAACAAGTTCAAGGGGATTGACAACCCTCTTGCCCGTGTTGGGTGCAAGTATTTGCTTTTGCGTGTGTAGGTGTTGTTGAAGGCAATTTGCGTGGTTCTCCTATTGGTTCCATAACCTTGGCTCTCACCGAGGTAAATACTTATCTCTATTGTGTTGTGTCTCCCCTCCTCATCCGGAAAATTCAAACACATTTTACAAGTAACAGATAGTAAAATGCATATTCGAACGCAACTTACAAGTAGCAGACAGTAAAATGCATAGAATGTAGGTGAAGTTATAGACATAAATCAAGACTGCACTGAAATGCAACATAGCCCTCAAATCATGAACTAGGTACACTAAATGTTTGTTTAAGAAACTACATCAGTGAGAACAACTACATGTAGTAGGAATGACTCCGTATGATCACACATACACATCTATTTTTGAAGATTAGTATATGTGGTACTCCGGAACTAGGAAAAAGTCGATCAAGTGCACAGTTTAAAGCAAACTTAACACCAAATTCAATATAAGCCAAGTATGAAAAATCAATGTATGCTAGTCGGCTTATATAAACATGGTGGCTTATAAGCTACTATTATTTCCAAAATATAAATAAACATCTAGAACGAAAGGAAATGAGAAGAACTGCACAAATTCAAGCAAACTAGACACGAATTCATGTTGTTCACATTTAGAAATGGCAGCGATGACATAAAAGTTGGCAAAAGACAAGACAACGGTTCATCAGACTCATAAATGGCTGCCAGATAACGATATTCAACTAGGGAATTGGTCGATTACAACAGAGACTCAAGATGCAACTTCTTCTGCTTCTAAGCTTCAATAGAGACTCCAGAACTAGGAAAAAGTTGATCAAGTGCACAAATTAAAGCAAACTTGACACCAAATTCAATATAAGCCAAGTATTAAAAATCAATATATGCTAGTCGTCATACATAAACATGGTGGCTTATAAGCTACTTTTATTTACAAAATATACATAAACATCTAGAACGAAAGGAAATGAGAAGAAGTGCACAGATTAAAGCAAACTAGAAACAAATTCATGTTTTTCACATTTAAAAATGGCAGCGATGACATAAAAGTTGGCAAAAGATAATAGAATGGTTCATCGGACTCATAAATGGTTGCCAGAATGCGGTAGTCAACTAGGGAATGGGTCGATTACAATAGAGACTCAAGATGCAACTTTTTTTGCTTCTAAGCTTCAATAGAAGTGTATGCTAGTCGAAGGAGGCAATAGGGTGCTTCCAAATCGTCCATTATCTTATTCCTGAAACATGAAACAATAAATTAAGAGTAATGAAAACATTATCAACTGGGACTGAACATCCAAATTGGAAGGCTTACCCTTTTTCCTGATATATAGGGTTTGATTGTCTCAGAAAAATTGACCACAGACGGGCATGTCATTGAACCTCCAAAGTCCATGTTGCCAACGACATCCCGAGGCACATCAAAATTCAGTAGGCTATTAATCAGCTTATCCACGCTATCATCCATAAGATATCTCATCCAAGGTTCTAAATTGACACCATTATTCTCCATAACAGGAGGCACCACTGAGTTGTTGGTGTTACTCTTGATAGGCGTGAATCCTTCTCCTTCAGCAATGGTTGAAATGGGAGCAATGGATGATATATCAGGAGTCTTGGTGTAATACTCTCGGCCCAACTTAGAACATCCAAAGGTATTACTTCTTAGGTCATAGTACATATTCATAGGAGCAACTTCAACAGGGGTAACAGAGCTCACTGCAGGAACAAATGGCATGTTGTCAAGCTGAACAAGTGGTTGCATTGATGTGAAATCAGTAGATGGGTAGACGAAATCATTTTGGTTGGCAAGGTTCTTGACTGATGGTATGAAACTATGTTCTTGTGTTGTGCTTGGCTTTGGTACTTTAGGAATAACATGGAGAGCACGGTGCTTTTGAGGAATTATTGGTTCATCCGGAAAGTTAAGCTTGGCCTTCTTTCCACGGATCCTATGTGCTTCAACATCATAAGCTCTTGCAGCTTCTTCAGCACTGTTGAAAGTACCAAGCCAAACACGGGCACCCTTAATAGGATCTCTGATTTCAGCAGCCCACTTACCCCAGGGGCGCTGTCGGATGCCTTTGAATTGGTTTTTTCTCTTCCTTTTTTGTGGCCTTTGTGTGGGGACATAAAAACCAGTACTAGTCCTGGTGCTCAAGTCATCTGCAATGCAAGATCAATGTCAATGCTAACAGAGATGAATATAGATAAGCTTGTCTCACAAAAAGTAATTAATTTCATCATGTACTTGAATTCATATGTATAATATCACAATTGTTATGAACACTGAACCATCATGGGTGCAATCCTCTTGACATTTTGGTGAAAACATCTGTCACCCACAAAATAAATTAAATAAATTACATTACAACTTATGACATGATATAGACCTTTGCCATCATTTTGTAATTATTGATCTATAAATCCCATTATCGACCCCGTGAAAAAAAATCCCATTATCGGTGATGCAGAATCAAGGATTTTTTTCTAGTAGGACTCAACACTTACCAAAATAATCCTTCAGACGGGCAACTGAACCAAATATAGAAATATCCCCATTAAACCTACAACCATCTAAAACAAGGAAACAATCCAGAAGGTCAAGACCTCAATAAAAAAACAGAGAAATTCGACCATTTGTAGATTTTCAAAATCATTTGACTATAAACAGTAAACGTATGAATGTCCATCAAAGGTCACAAAAAATATAAATCACAGTATCAACATTCTCAACCAAAATTGATTCTCTGCAGGAACAGTGGTGAAACCAACCTAGCAGCCTAATCAGCTCAAGGAAACATGGCTGAGAAATGAAAAAGGCCTAGCCCTGAACCAATTCACTTCATAACATCCAATCCATTCCATCCCATAATCTCTAAACAAACAGGTGACAGGGCATCTCCAATGACATCCCTCAAAATGACTGCAGTGGCTCCAACCAATTTTTATCATCCAATCCTAGAGCCGCATATGTCCGTGG